TAAACTTTACATAATGAACATGTAACTACACATAAATTCATTTAATTCTTGAGGATTACAACTCTTTGTAGCATGCGCCTTATGAAAACAACTCTCTATTACTTGCATATCTTAGACATGGGCACCAAAATAATGTCCACTAACCACATGTGACTATTTAAACTTTAATTAAAACCTAATATAACAAAAACTCCAGTTCCTTAGCCATACTTGTCACATTTCAAGTGCTCAACAGCCACTGCGGCTATTGGTTGCCACATTCGAACTATACATTTCATCGCACAAATTTCTATTACATAGAGTGGTCTTGGACTATGGTTTGACTGGGATCTGTATAAATAATGAAATACTACTTTCCAATATTATAAATGTGCTTTCTCCCCCCTTCCTTTTCTCAGTACATGACCTCTTCTGCACTCTACCCCTGAGGTGTCCTTCTGCCTTGGTCAAATGAGTTTTGGTGTAGAAGGATGCAAGAAGGAAGACCAATATAATATTCAGCTTCTGACCCTGGAAAATAGGCTTTTTAAACAAGACTAGATCCTCGTAAATCAGGTTATTTTCTTAAGGAAAGATGTTTTACATTTCCCTCTTTCCCATTTCAAGGGCCGGACCTGGTGTATACTAGACCAAAAGGTCTTCAAAATTTTTGCTCACGTATCCCCATACATTACCAAAAAGCTGTTATCTACTTTGAATTGACATCCAAAAATGTTCATCCTAAATTTAGTCACAAAAGATGTATATTTTAATATTGTATACATCATCAGAAGTTTGACTCTGCATATTTTGCTAATTGAGTTTATGGAAATGTCTCCCATATGACCTAATCAGAAAGGCTGGTCCTCATTGTTGAAATAGCCAGATGAGTGATGTGCTAGGAAAAACCTGACTTCAATTTTTTAAATTCACATGAGGGTATTAATTCAGATTCCTTTGATAATTTTCTTACTTCCAAATTCAACTTCAAAGATACAGACAGAGATGATAGGAAGATGATGGATAGATAGATAGATAGATAGATAGGTAGATGGATAGATAGGCCAGCCATGTGTTTGTTGCCTGGATGAAATAAGGAGTTGTCTCTTTCTGTATTTCTTTACAGAAGTTCTCTTGGCTTTGCTCTCACTGTACTCACGCTCAGGAATTATGCATTCTAGAACTGTTCTTTTGCTTGGCACTCCAGAAATCTTTTACAGTACTCAGAACAATGTGCTTGTAAGATTAAGGAAGAGTGAGAGCCATGTCTTTCTTTCTTTATCTGTTCTCTCTCTCTCTCCCATCACTATATAGGTCGACATGGATATATGGATATATGCACACACACGCCTCTTCCTTCTATATTAATCCTTCCCTAACCCTGAGTTACCTATCTTCTGGATTTCCTATTGTCTCCTTCTCTTAACAACTGAGCTTCTAGAAAGAACTATTAATCTTCTTTTTCTCTGTCCCTCTCCCGAATTCATTTCTCACTATAGTGCCATCCGGCTTAAACTCGCAATTCTCATTGGAAATGGCTATGACCGATGACCACCTAATTCCCATATTTAACATACTCTCTTCAGTTTTCAAAGGTAATTGTCCTCTTGGGGGAAAATGACACTGTTGACCACCTCGCCTCCCCCCCGACTTGTCTCTTTTCCTGGCTGTCTTGCAATCACTAGCCCTGGTTATCCCTCCCTCCCGTGCCTTCCTCCCTGATTTCGCTTGTCCTGGAGATCTCCTCCCACTCCACCACCTCCCTTTTACCCCTTCTCCATGCCTGGGCTACTGCCACGAGCTGGACGACCTCACACATACACATTTCCAGTCCAGAACTCTCTCTTGACATTCGGATTCATGTATTCAAATGACTCAGCATCTCTACCTGGAGGAAAACAAACCCACCATCTTTTCCCAAAATCATGTTCTTCTCATGTTTGGTAAAGTTTCTATGATGTCGTCAAAGTTTAAAAAAAAAATTTTAAAAACCTCAAAAATTCAAAACCTTTCTTGATCTTTTCTTTCTCACAGCCAACATCCAATCACTTACCAATTTTCTGATTCTACTTCTCAATTGTTTCTTCTGTTGACTTCTCTCCATTTACATTGCCACGGTACTAGGTCAAATTCTAATTGTTTTCAGCTGAACTACTGTAATAGCCTAATCAGTCACTCACTCAGATATTTTCTAATTCATGTTATTCCCTGTCGAAGACTCTTCAAATGCTTCTGTTACCGCGATGCTAAGTGCATGCAGAAGGAGAGGGCGGTGCTTGGTGGGAGATGTGAGCAAGCAGAGATCTCTTCTTCAAGAGTTCATTCTTCTCTCAAGACAAATAAGAAGGGGGCTGAGGTTTCCTTTTCTTGAGAAGAATTCAAAGCCACCGTCTTGCTGGGGGTGGGGAATGTGCAGAGGGCAGATGAAGTTCAATAAAAATGGAACAAGAAGCAGCTCTTTACGGAGCCTTCGATCTAGTCTAGGGCTTGGGGCCAAGGACAAAAAGAGAGGTAGGCTGGGGCAGCCAGATATTCACGACAGAAAGCCGACACAAAAATAGTGATATGAAAATACTGGGATATCTCTTAAATCCAATAATATTAATAGATAACAGTTTTGCAGTTGAAGTCCATAAGAAGACAGGACACAATTTACGCAAAGCAACAGCACTAAGTAGAAATATTACCTATCAAAACGGTATCTCACCAATGATCATATTAAATTCTATATTTAAATTTATATTTTCAATGACCATCGAGAATTATAAGTATCTATAACACCTTTTTCTAGGAAAGGGAAAAGCCTTTTGTGTGCTTTCACTTAGTATCTCCCACTACCTAACATGTTTTTTTGAATCATCCTGTAGTTTAGAGCCAGATTGTTCCTGTGATAATATTATCTGTTTTTATTTTATTTTATGATATTACTTTTAAAGGAATTCTTTCTTAATAATTTGATCAAATTTGAAAGCCAGATTTTCAACACAAATTTATATTTAATAAAAATTCTAAGGATTTATTTGCTCATTATCGTTTTATATAACTCACGCTATTTTCTTTCTTAGAATCTTTTGTTTTGCTGGAAAATATAAGGTAATTTTTTTTCCAGAAAAAGTTCGTGGGGGATAGACTTCCTGAATGCTGACATTTCTAAAAGCAAAATGCCTGTATTCTTTTCTTACTTTATACTCACATTTGAATGCTAGTTTTGCAGGGTATAGAATTCCAGAATAAAAATATTTCCCTGTAAAGGCAGGAATGCTTTGTTCCATTTTCTTTAAGAATTTATTGTGAATGATATTAAGTCTAATGCTGGTGTGATTCTTGCTCTTTTGTAATATTCTCTTTTAATTTCTGAAAACAACAAGTTTGAATTTGGGTAAGGTGTAAACATTTTTGTTTGTTTTCCTTGCTTGGTACTAACTGGACCTTTTTGATCTGAAGACTAGAGTCTTTCTCCAGCATTTCAGTTTATGAAGACTTTCCCTTTGGTAAAAAACAAAAATCAAGACTGCTTTTTCTCTTCAATTACTCTCTTCCTTTCTAGCGTCTTTTTATGTGTTTTTCCCTTCATGTCCTATTTTTTTTTATGTTTATTTTACATTCTTAGTTACTTACTGGACTTTATCTTTCAGATAATTATTCAGCCACATTCAACTTAGTATTCATCCCTTCTACTAAATTTATTGTTTTGCCAAATATTTTCAATTTCCAAAAAAAAAAAAACCTTTTTAAATCTATGAATTTTTTTATAACAGCCTATTTGGATATTTGGACCCTTAGGTCTTTTTATATTCCATTCCTTACATTATTTCTGTTTCTTCTGAAGTTAGTTCTGTTTATTAACCTTGGCTTGTGCCTTTAATATCATTAGTATTCCTTAAATATTTGGTGATCCTTCACTGTTCAAATTTATGAATGAAGGACTGGGCTGATTAGTTGAAGTAACTGATAAGGATCAGCCTTCAAGGATTTATATCGATCTTTCCCCAGTAGGCTTTTTCCTTGCTCCCTAAACAATATCATTTAAATTTTACATTTTGAAAAATTCTTTGCTAATAGAAAGTGTATTGTATATCTACTCCTGCAACTTGTTTTTATGTTGCTCAATATGTTTGAGATTTAGTGATACTGATGAACACATTGCCAAAATGCATTCATTTTTCACAGCTGCATTGTATGATATGATGTGAACAGACTACCATCCTATTGTTCATTTTCCTATAGATTGATATTTGAGATCTTTTTAAATTTTTTGCCATAATGAAATGGTTCTATTAATGAGTTTGTAATAGGTCTCCTCTACTAACATACATCACCATTCACTTTTTAAAGAATCATGTTAAATTTATTATAGAAATAAAATCCCTTATATAAAATATTCAACAGAGAGAAATAGCCTTGGCAACAAGGATCTTAAAGAGAACTCTCTAAACCTGAGGGAAAACATTGAGGAAAGATAAGAGAAATAGGCTGCAAGAGATATTTAAAGAAAATAACAAAATTTTCTTTAAAAACAATTGAGCTAAAACAGACGTCGGAAACTTCTAGATCAGTTTTTAGTGACAGGCAAGAATAGCTGACGCTCAGTAAAATTATGTGACCTTTTCAAAGTAACATAGAACGTAGCGAGCTTTCGCTGCAGGCTGTGCTATTGTACAATAGGAGCAGTCATGCTTCCCACTTGGTCCTCAGTCTCTCAAAGTAGCAGGCAAATGCAGATCATTTTCTTATCACCCATAAAATAAGAACAGTCAACTTTTCCTCATCCTTATTTACCCGGGGTGTTTGTCTCAATTGTACCAACCAGCTAGAACTTGGTAAGCACTGCCATCTTAGACTAGTTTCGTTTTGGCATTCTTTAAAACTGACCAGGAAAAGGCATTGCTCAAAAATTTTTTTGGCATAAACATTGCTCAGCACTCTTTTCCACCAGGTAAGTCTGACCAAAAATATAAGTCAAAGCAATTAGTAACCCGTGGTGGCATTATCCAGTATGTCATTAGAGATTCTATTCTTACCTTCGCATTTTGAATGCATGGACAAAGGGCCCAGGCAGCACTGGCCTTCACATCTGGGTGAGGATTTTTCAGCAAGGACCACAGCAAACGAACTCCATCTAAGCGATCAATTATTCTAGTGTGGAACACAAAATCGTGGTATAAACTGTAATTAGGAAGTCAAATGAAAATTTAAGTGGCCCACCTATTTACATAATTCTAATTATTTTTTCTCCTTTTGACATTTTGCTTCCTTTTTTTTTTTGCAAAACTTCAACAACAGCAGGGATACAACATGCTGTCGAATGGTCGGCCCTCTGATTTCAGTTTTCAATTCATGACACAGAAAGCAAGCTGCATGATAATTACCATTCACATAAACTGAAAATCAAGCCACGTAATTTTTTAATTAGCTGCACACAGACTGTTACCTAAATGTAAAAATACTGGTTTCTTTCACATAGTATAGTAACATCTAAATACTTTCCAAAACAAATATTTATGCCTCAAAACCGTGCAGTTACCTTTTTTATTTGGTCTATGTTTAATTGACTTACCTTACTGTATGACATATTTTAACCTCTTTCAGTCCTAATCTAGCATTAGGAATTAAAATCATCACACCACAGTACATCCTTTGTTGGGCACGAATAACACGTAACTTGTTTTCCATGTGCGCCCTTCCCAGCAAGGCTAACATTGCAGACTGTGTTATAATTACTTAAACACACTGTAATCAAAATATCTTCATGACTAGCTGAAAAATGAATTATCATCAGGGCCATCTCTATACCATCTGTCTTCTGTTTATATATCAATCAGTCCAGAGAGCATAACCCCACGGTAGGGTCCGCTGAGTACTTGCAGTTGAAACGAAGCCCAAACAAAACTTAACATCCTTCACAAACATGGCTTTGTTCAGAAAGGTATATTAAACTCGAAGCAGATGAAAAAAAGATAAAGAACATCAAAATTCCTTTGCTTTTTAATCTCAAGTTGATTTAAACACATGTAATATTTAGCCACAGATAGAATAAATACGGCTAGCTTAAAATGCCATTCAAATTCTTCCTTGAAAACTGACAAAAACATCTACATTTCTTGATTATCGGAGATGAGTTTGCCAGGACAAAAAAAAAAAAATGTATTTTTCCAAAAGTTCCAAGTAGGATATCGGTTTTGCATAACCTTACAGAATTGGTGATGCAAATAGCCTATAGTAAGATATAAACTGTCTCTTTCAGAAATGACCTCTAATAAGGAAAAAATGCACTGAGAAAGTATTTTACAGCAAAGCTTAAGCAAGCAGCTTTTCAAACCTAAAACTTTCTGTCAAAATCATGCTGAAAGAAAACAAAATTTTAGTTCTCAAATTTATGGAAACTCTAAAGAAACATTCTGGGTATTTCACAGTGAAAAATCTGCTTTTAAAATTTACATTAAAAAGCCTTACTGCCTTACACATGCCCCTGAAAATATAATTCATGCTGATCCCTGGGTCTCTATGTATTTTTTTTTAACACAAAATTTCACAGTGAACAACAGTGAATAATTGTCTGTCCTACCTTCTTGCAAATTCAGCATTAGTAATATTTTAACTATACGTTGCTGGCCAGACATCGCTTGTCATTAGAGTGGGAGTCACTTGGATGGCACCCTTTTTCAGTTCAAAAAGGAAAAAGGATAATGCAACCCTGAACCCTTTCCCCAAGACAAAATTTCACAGTTAGTTCTAAAAATTCACTGCTGATTATAAAATTAGATCTATTATTCTCCAAACCCTAAGCAATTCATCAGCTTCTTATTTATAATGAAGATTGTGGCCCCATTTCTGTAACAACCTCGTACAAGGAAGACATTATTGAACATTTGCAAACACAGGAACTAACAAAGTCAGGGGGACCAAACTTCAGAGTTTAGCTCTAACCCTTGCATCTCTCTCATCCCCTGCGCGAAATCATTCAGTGCTGATTTTTACTTCACAGTAACTCGTGTGTGTCTCCCTGCTTTCTGTTCCCTATGCCAGCGCTCTAATCCTGGTCTTTACTGCCCCACATCAGAAGTGCTGAAGAGGGTGTATAACTTGATTTTCTCAATTTCCATCCATCCTACAAATCCCTGCAAAATTCATCTTTCTAAAGAAACTTCTTGAGCTTCTGTAATAGCTCCTTGAGAGCGGGGTGCCAGGGATATACATCCTGCTCATGACACCACCTAGTGCGTTCATTCAAAGCTTGTTGAACAATTCACAAGCAAAAGATCACTCTCGAGGGTGGGGGGAGGTGGGGGAGGGGGAAGGAATAAAAGTCTTCAGTGGCTTCCCATGGCCTGCAGGATATTAAAACCCCAGTTCCTGAATCCAGTAATCAAAATTTACAGGGAGATGAAAGTACTCATAAAACTCCTTGACCATCTACTAAGCCCTAAGTACTAGGCATGCAGAAATAACAGATACAGTTAATTCTCATTACTAGGGGTAGTGACGGTCTACTGAGTCGCTGCAGACACCAGATGAGCAGATACTGAACCACTACTCTTAGAGGAAACATAAATTTTTGTTCCTGTGTGCTCTGGTCAGAATATTTTAATCAAATGATCAATATATAACCTCGTTTCACGTGTATTTCTCTTTAAAGACACCTTCTTTAAAATATATTGTCGAATCATTAACCCTGGACTTATGGCCAACAGCTCTATAATTCATGCTTGAATGAAGCTTATCGAATTCTCCGTAAGGCACCCCCAGCCTTCTTGTGCCTGGTCACCCCACACAGCACCTCAGCGCTATGCTTAGGGGACATCTTCAACAGCAAGATCACCACCCCAAAACAAAACTGTGAAAACCATGGCACCAAATAGACTGCCAAATGGACCACGTGTGCACAGTAGGACAGCTGAAACGAAAATGCGGAGTGTCATTTTTGCTGACCCCAGCTGGGAACAAGTGCGTTGGGCGACTCAAAATTTTTCACTGCTCTGCACGTGTCCGGGAATAATAGTGTCAGTGATGTATTGCTTTGGGGGGCTACATGTGAATCCGTCAATACAGAATCTGCAAATGATGAGGAATGACTACATTTTAATTGTCCTTCAGAAAACTGCAGTCTAGTGAGGGAGATAAAGAGACGATTATATCTATTAAAAATGCTGGAACAGATGTGTGCGTCCATGTGGAGACGGCGAGAAGACTCTGGTTTATTCACAGACCACGGACACTCTTCTCCCTTTATGCACTTTGCAGCTGTAAGCCTTTGCCCAGGCCATCTCCATAGTTTACTATTAATATAACAATCTGTCGCTTAAGGTCTGTAACAAAACCTGATCCGCAAACCTCTGGCTTCCTCCTCCTTTAAGCCTCTTGTGAATTTTTGTCCTCCCCTTTCCAGCCACTCATAACACGCTGCTTTGCCCGTGGCCACGTGTGTGTGCTTATCTCCCCAACTACCATGTAATTTCCTTGACATCAGGAATCATACATGCCCCCCACTCCTAGGGCCTGCTACCACACCAGCGAGTACTGGTTACATGGATCTGAAACCAGGCAGTCTTTGCTTACTCCTTTTTCAATGAATTGAAAATCTCTCCCAACGCAAATATATTCTTTTTCAAACCTCATACTTGCCAATAAGTGTTCAGATTCTAAATCTAAGCAGTAAAGTTTTCATTTGAAGCTGTCTCTGAGTTGAAAGTGTATTTTCACTGAATTTCTTTACAACTTTATTGCTTTTTGTATACACAGCGATGGATTTCGAGGTGGTATTAATTCACACCACTGTCGATGTCCAATGGGTCTGGCCCCTTTTGTTTAGCCCTTTAATTTGATTAGAATTTTGCTCTGAAATCATTTCCAGTAAGGATGGAAGCAAGCTCTTCCCATTTTTATATCAACAGAATTTTACATTGATTTCTTAACATTATAAAAATAAAACTGAATTATATGTTTTCAAATTCTTAAACTTTCTCATGGAAATTAAATTGTCCAGCTGGCAGAATAACATTTTTCAGCTCTAGAAAGATGAATTTATATTCATATTCTGGCTATTAAAAAAATAAACCAAAAGATGCAGCTGCTTACTATGTGTCTCCGTCTCTTATATTAACATTTTCCAGGACTGTTATGAAGTCTGGCTGGCTTGTCTGCCCACTGAGGCCATATATGTGAACAAACGTGAACAATTTGTGCCCATATTGTGGGCATGGGTAAGGCTGTAGGGTTTCTTTTTGGCAATACCAATATATCTATTTTGAAACCGTAATTTTGCATGTTTTCTAAAAATTTCACAGTATCTGCTGAAAATTACACTGATAAATTGTATTGTCTGACAATGGCCCAAAGTAAATGTGGTTAGCCTAAAAGAACATGACGTTCTTCAACCACAACATTAAAAGATGTAACTGCAATACATAGGTTTTGAAACCAAGTTGGCAATTCAGTAAAAAGAGAAACATAAATGTATGTCAGAATGAAAATGATCATCCCTGGGAAAAGAATTTTGCCTTTCAAAAAAAATCCTTGGCTGGGTGTGGTGGCTCACGCCTGTAATCCTAGAACTTTGGGAGGCTGAGGCAGGAAGATCACTTGAGGCTGGGAGTTCAAGACCAGCCTGAGCAAGAGCGAGACCCCATCTCTACAAAAAATATTTAATAGAATAATTAGCCAGTGGTGGTGGCCTGTAGTCCCAGCTACTCAGGAGGCTGAGGCAGGAGGATCACTTGAGCCCAGGAGTTTGAGGTTGCTGTGAGCTAGGCTGACGCCACTGCTCTCTAGCCTGGGAGACTGAGAGAGAGACTGTCTGGGAAAAAACAAAAATCCTTGAAGTTATGTTTCTATCTCTAGGTATTGTTCTAAACAGCCTATGAAAAACCAAATTTGGAGAAGAGATAGGGATGTGATAGCCTCTGGAGAGGTATGTCAAGAATTCCTTGGCCTTGGAAAAGCAACAGCATAATCTATCCTTTTATAGTTGGTATAAGCAACATGATTAGAAAGATTCTAGAAGCCTTTTTGTCAGAAAAATGATTCATTCCTATAGTGAATATTAAGTGAGAACCTATCACATGCCAGGCATTGCAACACATCAGGAGACACAAAATGTCCAATTGTCCGACTTTTAGCAATGTCAGGTTTGGTCATTT